CCCGTCGGTGGCGCCGGGCGCGCGGAGGCGCTTGTCGGCCTTGGGGTCTGGGGGCGGAGTGTGCGTGAAGGACTGGGAGCGCTTTTTGCGCGGCGTGTCCTCGTCGAAGAACTCGATGACAAACGCCTGCTGGTTGTGCAGCAGCTCCTGGGGGTCGCGCTTAATCTGCCGCTGCAGCCGCGCCTGCTCCCCGCTGGCCTCCATCCCGTTCGCAGCAGCCGCTGCCGCCACCGCCAGCGGGTCCTCGGAGTCACTCTGCGTGCCGTCTTGGTGCTTGTGGCCTGGAGGGTGCCGTTAAGGCCAGTCATCAGCAGGAGGGCCAGGGCTGGCTCCCGCCCACAGAGCCTGGCCTTAGGTAGCCTCCCACTGGCAAGTGGTTTGGAGGCGTTGATTGTGAAATAAAAGCGACCAGCCCACTAGTGACCCGTCCACGAGAGGCGGACACATGCCAGTGCACAGCATGGTCCACTCAGGGCCCCAGCTGCCCGGGGAACTGGCTAGCGGGTGTCACCGCGCTGAGCCCTGGAGGACATGGACAGGCCGCCCAGCACTGAGTGCTCAGGCGTAGGTGTGGGCGGGCCCTGACCCCTGGGCAGGGTAAAGGGGGCAGACACCCTCGGGGTGTGGTGTGAGTGGGGCAGGCGCTCACCCCTGAGTGTACGAGTGTGGACAGGCAGGTCACTCTTGGTGCTGTGGCCATCGTGCCCCAGGCCGGCCCGGCGCAGCAGACTTGGGTCGTTCTGCACCAGCCAGTCGGCCACCTTGGTCTGGGCAGACACCATCTCAGCAGGTGTGGCTTCCTTGCCCGGGGGGCGCTGCTGGCGCCGCGTGAACTTGGTCACGTGGTCCTTGATCTTCAACTTGCCTGGGCTGCAGTCGTCAAACTCGATGGTGAAGGAGGCGTGGCTTTGCACAGCAGGCGCCACCCCGGCCCCGCCCAGTGCAGGCTCCTTGGTGGGAACCTCCTGGGCAGGCACCTCAGGGGACTGAGTGGTCGGCGGTGGTGGTGGTGGTGGTGGCGGCGGTGGAGGGGACTCCTTTGTGGGGATCTCGAAGTAACTGGGCTCTCGGCGGAATGCATAGCCCTGTGGCCCCACAGTGGCCCGGGGACCAGCCAGAGGGCCCCGGAGCTCCCCATCCTGCTGTGCAGGGCCACGGGCAGGATCTGGGGGTGGATGAGGAGTGACCTCAAGCCATGCACTCCAGAACCCCATCCCTACTTCTTACCCGTGGGAGCCCTCCTCTGGCTCCCCACCCCCACCTCCAGTCTTGCTCCAGGTGGTGGCCTGGCCTCCAGGACCCACCTGAGTCTGGCTCCCCCTGGTTCCGGTCCTCTGGCCGGTGGCCGACATCCTCCTCGCCCCACCAGGATGGCTGTCCGTACAGGGGCGTGCGGTAGGTTACTGCCTCTGTGGAGGGTCAGAGGGCAGAGCTGGAGTTGGCATGTTCCCCAACAGGGACACAAGACGGGAGTGTGACGGGAGTCCCCCTTCAGCTGTCCAGGGAGGCTGACCAGATCCTGACCACTCTGAACCATCGGGCTCTCTATGGAGACCCCCAACCACAGAAGAAGGACCCAGGGGACCTGCTCCTGAGTGGGAGCCAAGCCCCAGCCTCTCTGCAGCCCCACGCCCTTCTCCAGATGGGCAGAAAGTGGGCAGGGACCAGCAGGGGAGCTCCTGGGGGCTTCTGGTTTTGTGTGTGCGGGGGGTTGTCAACCTATGGCAAGCCTCTCCAAGGCCCTGTTAATGGCTACAGCCACGGAGGGTGACCCGGGTTCTGCCTGACCCACCTGAGGTCTTTGTTTTCTGCTTTAGTTGGAGCCTTAATGTAAAACCTGGGAGCTGGAATCTGACCCCTCCCTGGGTTCCCGGGGCCTGCTCCAGCCACCCTGTCG